TATACGTATATTAGATCCATTGTAAGTCTTTGCTCTGAATTTAGATTGGTAGAGTGTCCTTTTTACCCATTTTTCCCCATTCCTGATAAATTGGGTAGTTTGGGTGGTTGGGAAAAAAAAACTTCTAGTAAATATTTTGGGTTAAAATCGAAAAAATGAACTGAAACTTATAAACGCATGTCTTTCAGAGCAGAACAATGTTGTAGAGTAGCTAAATGAGACTCGGTACAAGTCTAATAGAGGGACCCCGCTTGTTGAACGTTGGCCGTTTGTTAAAAGTCACGTCACTTTGGTATTATAGTGCTTGCAAGCTGTGTGTTAATTCTCTGCATTCATTTATTTTGTAAGATTTGAATTACGATTTTAGTTTTTTGTTGTTAATATGGAGTTTTTTTGGTGTAAACTTCCAAATGAAGAAATATTTGTAATCAAGTTCGTTTTTTCTCGACAAAGAAATTTGAATCATCTGAAAGCTATTATTGAATGAAGACAGGAAAAAATGCTTCACGAGCTACTTTTTTTGGGAAGTTAAGAGGGTTTGAACGTTGCCAACTTGGCAATTTTGTAGGACAATCAAGCAATAGTTTTTGTTCTATGAATGCGTAAGCGGTGGTTCAGACCATTTCAAAAAAATCACAACGTACGTTAGACTACTCATCCGACAAAAAAGAGCAGACAGTTTAATTAGCCAGCAAAATCAGAACCTAACCTAGAAACTTGATCTAACCTAGAAACTTGTTCAGGCGTGGAGTTTTGAATTTTCATGGGCAACTGCTAGTACACAAAACTGTACAAAAAATGTTAATTTTGGGAAACTACTCGAACTGCCCAACATGTAACTATCTTTAATTTTGTGTAAATGCACCTACCCGAAACAAAAAATACACCAGCCCAAAAACCCCTCTGTCACCATATTATATGCTTTTTTAATATTAAATTTATTCTGATGCAATAAAATACGTTGTTTGCAGGCTGGCATTTTTCACAACGTAGTACCTAAGCCGCAGAAAACCCCAAAAACCTTCTTTTCCCCCTTAAAATCTTAGTTGTGGTTTTTAACAAATACCATTTTAACAGTGTGTTATAGCGAGACTTGGCCACACCAAAATGTAGCGAAAAAAAACTAAAAAACATCAGAAAACCGTGTAATTCAAAAGGAAGCTACAAATTTTTCGAAATGAAAAAACTTGCAAAAAATTTTTTTTGAGTAAGAAAAAAGATTAAAAAAAATAAATGAAAATATTGCAAAAAACGTTTCAAAGCGCAGTGGTTCGGAGCAAAACTAAAAATTAGTTTGAATAAACTTCAAATAGGCCCTCTAGTCTCAATTCAAGCAAGTTGCCTGGTTTTTTGCCACAAAATGTTCACTCATCGCTTGTTCATAACGCGCAGGGGGGTGAAAAGAAGTAAAAAAAATTTAACAAAAAATAACAAGTTTTCGCTTGTTTTATCATTTTATCAATGTGTTTGAACAAACTTTTTCTCACAGACTTTGAAGACCAAACGAATCAATCAGAAGTATGAATTTTGCGCTATTGATTTGATTGAGATAAAAAAAATTAATCTGGTGCACAATTTTTCCCCATTGGGTTAAGGCAAGCTATATGGTCTTATTTTTAAGTTTCTACGTGTATATCACTTTGTACTTAGCATACCGTCCTGGAAAGTTTTTCATAAAAAGATTTGCCGGAAACTTTGCCGGAAATTTTGTTCTCTAAAATATACTCAGAAGCGTTGAAGTGCAGTAAGATTATTAACTGCTTCACTTTGATACAAGCAGTCTTCTTCCTTTTCCAAACTAGCATCTCCAATAGAGCCGGGCTTTTCCATTAGAAATTTTTACCCTCATAAAAAGCTGGCATTCATGACGACTGTTTGATCAATTAGACAAACTAAATTACTTTTATTTAGCTTAGAAAAATTAGGAGTTTTGAGTCTGTTTTTTTTTTAAATCGAGAAATCCTATTTCTTTTGTAGGTTTATGAGGACTTCAAAAAGAAAACGGGGACAGTAGCTTTAATTTTGTTCCTGATTCGGCGAGCCAACCTATTTTTCAACAGAGAGCAAAGAAGAAAGACTTACAATGATTTCATTACAATCGAGAATAAATCCTTTCCATTTGCAAGTAATTTGTTAAATTAAAGTAGGGTAAATCTTTGCTAACAACCTTTTTAAAAATTTTTATTCTTTAAAAAATTTTCGAGTTTTTTTTTCAATTTGCTTAGACAAACAGTTTTCATCAAAAAACTTTTAAAATATATTTTTTTTTCATTTTGGAGTTAGAGGGCAGTCGGAGCGTTAAAAACTTGCGCTGAGACCTTTGTAACTAACTTTTCTTAGCTTTTAAGTTTTTGAGCTTAGAAATTTCAGTTTTTTACTGAATAATTTAACTATTTCGCCAAACAAATATACACCCAACATATCTTTCAGTCTTCGAACAGTACAAAAGTATGAACAAGTTCAGAAAGCACATATTTTTTAGCTATGCTAATTTGAGAAAGATCTTACTTCGCACAAAAAATGATTCTCATTGATACGAAAATTATTTTCATACTCGAAAAAACGGTAAACGCCCTTCTCCTTATAACACCAAGTTTTGTTACTTTTATTTAGGGTACTCAAATCACTTACTCTCGGTAGATTCAAAATTTTTGTTAAAATGCCGAACAAATGGTTGTCAAAATGGTATTGGAAGAGCTCTTTAAGTACTACGAACGTCCATTTGCGTTTGTTTTTGTCTAGTAGTGTACTTTGCACTTAAAGTTGATCTTTGATCTTTTGCGAGAAGAAACATTGCCGCGTAACAACACATTTGGAACCAGCTCAAAAAAAGTACTTATTTCACCCGATTATATTCGTGATAAACTATCTCAGTAAAATACTTAGAACTAACCAATCATGATCCATAACTAATACTTACAAAAATTTGTAAGGCTGAAACTATTTATAGTTTCAGCCAGAATAGAATAAAATTAACTCAGCAAGCAGTTGCTCTTCTCCCGAACAGTTCCTGATATCTAGCCTTGCAAATACCAGTATACACTAGATCTATTGAGACTAGGAGATACAAGAGTAAGATTAGGATTGGTATTAGACTAAGAAGTTGCACGAATCACGGCCGAAAATAAAATGGCATGACAAACAGACGGTGTACCTCATCTGAAATTACTCTATGAGTGAGCCACCCCGGACATAAACTCATATTTCCTTTTGACAAGCTATCTCTCCAAAAAGGAAGCAAGCTTGCTGGTTTAAAGACGTAGCAGTGCATGCTCCGACTGCCATTTGATGCCTAATAGAAAATTTTACTGACAAAAATGAGAACGTTTTCGAAGAAAAATTACTTTTTCTTACACTTTTTTTAAATATACACAACACGCGCAATATAACTCTAGTGTGCTTCTGGTAACCTCTCGTATCACATGTCTTGCTTCATTTCAATTTGGAACGATTCAATTTGCCGGGTACGCTGAAATAGTATAAAAAATCGTTATTTATCCCAAACTGACCAAAGTGGTCCCAAATTCCAACCCGCATAACTTGCAAAAAACAACAGAGATAACTTTTTGATTTTCAGATCTGAGTAGGAATATTGTTCAAGCTGTTTAAAATTAATTCTGTCTGCTTTTCTAAAAATTTATAATTTGTCTTATATGGTGCAAATTTTCTGTTTTTTTTTGTTTTTTGTTTTGTTTTTTTTTTCAGATCAAGTACATACTTAAGTCATCTTTTTTTTGCAAAAAAATATGAAATTGTTTTTATAGTAATTTTATGAAAAAAAAAGTAAAAAACGTTATTTGTTTTCAAGACAGCTTAATTTTAAATTTACTCTAATAAATAAGCTGAAATTTTACTGCTTGAATGCTCATTGTTACCTCAATTATTTATCCCATCTGTAGTGGCTCTATGAGAACTAACTCAGTGTTCTCGCATTTGAAGTATACATTTTTGTTGGGAAATTTAGCGCTTGATTTTTGGCCATCTGATTGGCCACCAAATAAATTGAAATTTAGGATCAACTGTACAATCCACTTCTCCCCCTTCCAAAAAATTGATATATGGGGATAAATTATGGATTTTTGAGATAATAATAACGAGGAAAATCGAATCGATCTCATTATTTTGAAAAAGTAATCACAATTACTTTACACTACCACTTTGAGTAATTAACGTGTGGCAACGTATTAATGAAAAGATTGTGCTTTAGTAGTTCATTTTGGATGATCTAATTTGCCGTTGGAACAAAAAGAAAAACTGTATAGACAATATTTTTTTTCCAACACTTGATGTGACCAGAAAGTTGCGTACGCTGGATTTATTAGCATTGCTCCTTTTTTCCCATGCCTGAAAAACAACTCAAAAATTTTAAAACCCAAATAGCAAAATGATAGATGTATTCAGAACTTAATGCGCTACGTATAAACAATTCGGGTACTCTTTTCATGGTTGCCTCTTGATTTATCTTGCTAGCTTTGTTGCGTTTTTCTTAGATTCATTCATGCCAGCTCAAACTCCGGCGACTATAAAAACCGAAGAAAACTAAAAAGTTGTTCAGACTTTCGAAGAAAATGGAATATTTATGCTCGGTGTGGTTTTTTGCTCCGACTTTCGTAACGAAAGTAACGGAATATTTGTGCTCCGGGTGGTTTTTTTCTTCGGTAAATTTTGGCTTTTAAACTGGTCATTTTTGTGCCTTATGTTTAACATTTTTCAATGTTAAACAATCAGCTTTAGGCCGACCGACACGTAATAATATAAATAAATCAACCAAATTTTTGAGACCAGAAATAGCCAAGAAAAAGAAATTTTCAGATCTGAAATAGCCAAGAAAAAGAAAATTTCAGATCTGAAATAGCCCATCCTTAAAGTATCCATGCGTTATTTAAACATTTCACAGCCTATTCCAGATCTGAAATTTAGATCTGAAATAGATAATTTCAGATCTGTTTTAGAAAATTTACTGGGTACGGGAAGTAATCAATTCAGATATTATTTTATACCTTGTGGCTGTGTGCAGGTAGTGGCTGTTGAATAAGGCTATTTTGCGTGTGCTTCTCCAACCAATTGTCACAACTCTGCGGTGGAATCCCTCCAAGGTGTTGTGATCAAAGTCAACTAAGCTGCACTCCAGCTGACCCAGAATGGACATGCAGATTATGACCACATCGAACAGAGGCAGCATTCCGTACACTGGTTTCAACACTAACACAATCACGCAACTCTCAGGCTCAGTAAAAAAAAGAAGAGAAAAACGGTTGGAAATCGAAAATGCAGAGTCAGTTGTCCAGTCGAAGAAAATCTGGGGGATGGGTAGCTTTTGGCCTTAAAGGTTAATTGAATGGTTACTTTGGCCAGTTTTTGAATAAATATTATGAAAATTATGACATAACTTTGACGCTAACTGTCCCCTAAAATTGGCGTGAAACAAAGGGATCTCTTAACTATTTCCCCCTATTGCAATAGGGGGAGATTTGTTACCAGGAATAAAATCCATATATGCTGAACAGCTGAACAGTTGACTTAGTTCTTAATTGGGTGGGCGGGGGGGGGGGGGGGGTTACGAGACACCATTGTGGGATAGTTTAAAAGATCCCAATAACGAAAAGTTCCAAATGTAATAGCGCAATTAAAATCAAAACCCCTAAACATGCTGATAATTTAACAATTACTGTGTAAGTCAACATGAAATTACTATTAAAAGTGGATTGGACTGAATTGAAAAGCCTGAAAATAGAGTAAACTCATGCATGCCTTTCTGCAGTTCGTCTCTACTCGAGACTACACACTCGTCTATGATGAGAGCATAGAGACTGTTGATTGCTCTGTGTCGGGGGAAGTATTCTTCCACCGAATTCAGCTTGCAAGAGACAAATTCGGCTCCTAAGCACATTTGATTATGTTTACAGATATGAGATTGACCGATTGGATTTAAACCGAGATGAACATTGGCTGGACTTGACACCTGTTTTTGCAGCGATTTTTGTCAAACTTTTTTTGTCAAAATGTTCCAAAAATTGCCTTTTTCCCTGCCAGCGGTTCTACTTTTTTTGTCCAAGTTTAATCTTTATAGTCCTCTGAAAGCGCAGCAAAATCAATTTGGTTGACCTTTAAAAACTGTCACAATTTTTTTTTCTAAAATCACCCTCTCGAGAAATTCCTAGATCAGCCTTGATCTCCCGACCAATGTCATAAAAAATCTCTTAAATAAATTTCCCAGTAAGATCTACCTAGCAAGAATGAAGAATACTCCTGAAAATTTTTCCAATATCTTCCAACTGTTTATTGCTTAAAAATTGAAGTCAGAATCTCGAGGTCCAAAAATTGCCTGAAACCCATCGGATTGAATGTCAATTCTACTTACTAACTCTCAGTAAAATCATAAAAGATCAGCTGGCGATCAACTAACTATTTCGTCGACAATGAATTAGATAGTACTTTTGAAATCAATTTTTTTTCTAAAGTTTCTTAATACATTCTTCATCAATCCCGACTTCTTCTCGAAACTCAATGGAAATGTCAGATCAAATCTCAATCTCTAACCCCAACCCATTAATCCTAGTTGCACTAATTCTGAATCGTCAAACTTTACAGACCCAGATGTCTAAATTTTTTGTTTTGCTTTTCTGTCGAAGAGTTTAGCTTTTGCTAGTAGATATAGCACGGATTGAGTTTAAACCAGCGGATTTCAGTACAAAGCTGGTGTCATCGAACTTAGTTCCGGTTCAAAGAAATGAAGAAGCAATCACGTACACAATCTTCAGTGCTGCTGTGATCTCGTGGGAGAAAATTATCGTGCTAGAAAAGTTTCGACCAAACGAGACATTTTCAGAGGCGAGAAAAATATTGAGGAACTGCATCGACTAGACAAATGGTTGAAGTGGAGAAAGTACTGGGCAGGGCATAGACATTTCAGTGTGGGGTGTTAAATTAAGGCTATCACAAGGATAGAATAATTATATTGTAGCCAAAATATTGGAAAAATATCAGTCAAGTCAAGAGAAACAATATTGATTTTTTTAAATAAATTTGATATCCGAAAAAAAGTTTGTGCTTTGTATTCAAAGTTTTCGAAACTTTTCGAAACTTAATGTTAATGATTGACATCTTTAAAAAAATGGTTTGGACGCAATGGATGCTGTTAAATGGCTTTTAAAAACTTCAGCTGTATACAAATAACGTATTTAAACAAAAAACTGAACACAGAGTTCCATATCTAATTGGAAAAACATGGCAACGGAGCTTAGAACTTTCCGATGAGATCAAAAAAGATTTAGAAACAAATTCAAATAAACACAAAAACAGCTGGCTGATGTGCAAGTAGTACAGAATGTTCAAAACAAAGCTAGTCGAAAAAATATTTCTTGAAAATTTTCCTTTTCTCAAACTTCCCTTTGATATTTTTATTGTGCGCAGTTGAAAAAACGACCTAACAAAACTTAAATTTTTGTCATTGACCTGAAATATCAACAGTTGTTTGGTTTTTCCCAAAAACGAATTACAAAAAAAAATTAGAAAAAATGCGTAAAAAGATTTCAAATTTTGCTCTTTTATTTTTTGTAAAAATTTCTTCAACCGTTAAGTGCTACGGAAAGGTATTTTCATAAGGGTTTCACATGTAATTTTAGTGGGGTAAATTAAAGTTTTTTTTGTGGCGTTAAGGACTGTTTTTAGTTTTACTCGCTCGTCTTACTTGCTCGAAAAAAAAGGAACTGTTTCACAATGCTAAAAAATGTCCGTCAAAAATGTCTGTCAATGAATGTCATTCTCAATGAAAGCTAAAAAAAACTTAATTAAAGGTGGTTTATATCACAACTAACGACAATTTAGCTTAGGACTTTCTGATGACAGAACTTAAGACAACCGAAGACAAATTTCTCCCAATTTCATTGGTCGAAACAAAAACTTATGTCTTGAAGAACTTTGATTATCATGAATATTTTTAATAATGGTTTAACACAACAAACTCAATTATATAAATTTGGATCAATGCGCAAGGTAAGATTGCACTCCTGTTCTTAATTGCGAGTTTTAAGACTTTTTTCTGAATAAAAAAGCATTCAAAAAGACCACTCGACCTAAATAAGTGACTTCACTCGGTTCATTGACACTTAATAAGGGCAGTTTGATTTAATTTTAATTGAAGATTAATTTGCATTTAGCCCAGAAAAAATCAACTTGTTGTCACAAACTGATTATTTACCCAAGTCTATCAATCTTTGATGGCTTTGAAAAAATTTGAAGAATCTTGATTCAACTCTTAAAAAAAATCTTGGCTGTATTGAAGAAGAGAATCTTGAAGAAAAACCTTGAAGAAAGAAAAAGACAGCAAAAACTATTTTAAAAGATTTTTGACGATTTGCGAAGCAGATGGGCGATTTTACTTTCATGATTCTCCAAGATCAACAAAATTAAGTCCTGCAATAGGTTAACTGGTACGCCTTGTGACTCTCAATTCAGTGGTATTGAGTTTTCTCTGTTCATTCTGCTTCAATATTCATTACCTCTTCTCTCTCCTCATTTCGAGCCTCAGGTAAAACCTTCGACCTTTAGATAAAGCCTCTCATCCCAACATCCTAAATCTTAGTTGCTCTAAACTAAATCTTAGTTGCTCTAAACTAAATCTTAGTTGCTCTAAACTAAATTTTAGTTGCTCTAAACTGGTCCCAATATCCTAAATCTTAGTTGCTCTAAACTAAATCTTAGTTGCTCTAAACTAAATCTTAGTTGCTCTAAACTGGTCCCAATATCCTAAATCTTAGTTGCTCTAGTCTAAATATTAAAAAAATAGAAATGGTTTAAATACCATTTTCGTAGCCGAACTTGTCCAACATGACGTGGTCCACGTTTTGTTTCAGCGTCTCCTTTTGATCGGGCACAGCGTAGATGACCCTGTTAAAGTTCAACTCATGCAGACAAATCCGGCTGATCTCCATGCAGCTTAAGGTCTTCCCGGTCCCACCCTCGCCCATCAGTATCTTGCGACATGCCCTTTCCTCTTGGATCGACCGGCGAACACAGTAGGCTATGTCTTTCTGCTGGGAAGACAAACTGGGCAGCACTGAAAAACAGTATCTTGACATAAAATGAGGTACAATTACCTGTAGTTGTTGTTACAAAGAGTTTAAGCTATCCAGTTTAGATCGCAGCTCAAATTTCAAAAGCCGCGACCGTTTCTTAGTCAGTGCCATGTTTCGACTTTATATATCGACCGAAGAGCTCGTACCAGATTGCGGGTCGAAGTCCCAGACCAATTTGCAGAGATTTTGAAAGTCGTGCTTCGTCAAAATTGCATCCAGCGACATAAGTTTATACGTTGATTAAAAAAATTACCTTCGAGACAAATTCAACGATCGACGGAATTCAAATTTGTACAAATTTTACCGAAAGTGGCGTCGTAATGACGTCGTCAAGTTGTAGCAAAAAACCTAGTTAATGAAAAATTTAACACCGAACAGCTCAATTTTGGAACCAGATATAAACTATATTTATTATTGGTTATAATTTGGATATTTTATCTCTATAAAATATTTAATATTAGCCAATCACGATCCATCTAACTAACAATCCACTTACTAGTAAGTGCTAAAATTACTTGTAATTTCAGCACCAGAGAGATTTGAATTTAACTTAGAAAATAGTTACCTCTCCAAGAGAACTTTAGCAATTGCAATAAGCCAGTATACTCTAGATCTATTGTGCCTAGCAGAGACTAGTTAAACACCCTGAGACTAGTGGATATAAGAGTAAGATTAGGATCGGTATTGGACTAAGAAGTTGCACGAATCTATCCGGCCGAAAATAAGATAGCGTGACGAGCAGACGGTGTACCCTATCCGAAATTACTCTATGAGTTACACCAAAGACATAAATCATCTGGTGCAACCATAAGTCTCAAACAAGGCCTTAAAAAACAAATTATCTTAGAACTAACAGATAGATTAGAATTAGACAAAAACATTTTCAAAAATGTTACATGATAATAATCTAATTGAAATGTCTCTACGACTCAATAGATCAGAACCGCTATTCCGCACAATACTAGAGCTACCAGGCATTGCAAGAAGGCATCGGACAAGAGACGATCTACGACTACGAAGAAACTTACCATTAAGTTTCATGGTCGTACGGCAAAAGCCAGACCAAACTTTTATATTTAGAATTTTTACTAGCAATGAATTTAGATTTTCATTTGCAAACATAGAAACCTTGAAGAAAAATCTTCAATGATTATTACAGGCGCTAAATCACATTTATTATTGTACAATAACGATTTATAAAAACACCTCAAATTGTTTCCTCTAAATCTACAGTAAAATTTAAAAAGATATCTGAAAAATATATTTTTTGAAAACAAAAAATAAAAATTAGTTGAACTGATCATAAATTTTTAGTAAATATAAATCATCCTGGCATCCCCAGTTTCATCACCTAAACATAACAACAATCATTAAACCACTAATATCATCAAACACTAAATTTTTCTATCAGATAAGTTTAAATTATCTTTAACGGCTTATCCAAATTTTTACCTCTATTTCATTTCAACTTGTTCAATCTTAAACTAGATCATCAAGGCTTCCCTTGGATCTCTATTAAATAATTAAATTAAATCCATTTTATACCATAAAAAAATATATCCTGATCATCAAGGCCTATCCTTGGATCAAATAGAACAATTTTGTTCTCCCCCACCCAATAATAAAGTGTCTAACGACCTCAAACGTCGATTCGATACCCAACCCTTTCAAAGACCCAGGACTAATAGACATTTTTCAATCACACTAACCATTCAAATTAAGCTAAACAGTGAAGAACTTCGGTTATTCGTCCTTCACTTAATCCCCCCTCTTACCTGACCCAGGCTAAATCTTAAATCTTAGTAAGTATTAAAATAGTATCTAACGAACTACCTGTGTTCTAATTATACCTGAACCTTGTGGATCAATTTACTATTCTCCAACCCTTGAACACAATCACTACCCCCGAGTAAGATTAAGTAAGTTAACTTCTTAACTTAGAGTAGCCACGAGAAAGTAACAATCATTCTTCGGAATCGATATATACTTTTCTCTCCAACCCTACATAAAAGACCCAAGTTAGGCTAACCAAAAAATTGTAAGGACTAACAGTATAGGATTTTATAAATCACTAATGACAATCTTGCACCCTTCATCCTAAACCTTATGTCACTGAACAATTTAGGAAATAAACAAACAATCGTACTACACAATTGTAAAATAAAAAACGAAACATACGATCTTGTAATTACACCTTATAAACAAACAATCGGATATATTCGCACAAAACGTCAAACAATAAAAAGAAAAATTTTAAGCAAGCAAAGACAAATTACACGAAAAAGATTTTCAAAGCGTAGAAACGCAGTCTCTGAATCAGAAGTCAGTAATTTAGATGCACTTTACAAACTAAAAGAAACAGTAAATAAAAACTACCCAGTTCACGACCCATTATATTTTTCAGATTCAGAAGCTACATCACATTGATCAAAGCAAGGAAAAAGAAGAATAAAAAAGATATACAAAAATAAACCAGTACGTCTATACAATTGGAATCAACCAATCAGACACATCGAACCTTACGCACTAACAGTTATAAAACAAAAAAATGAGCCAAAGTCCAAGTGATGAAAGTCCAGACGAAAACTCTGTTTTTCCCATTTATTGTAAAATTACTCACTGAAGATAGAGGACAAAGACAATTTTGTACTAATTTAATTGCAAATGTATTCCAACAAGGAATTAGCCCATGTAAAGCAGAATTCCCAGAAGTAAAAAACAAAAGACAAATTATCGATCATTATTTGAAAGGAATAAGTAACCTAACACAGCCATATGGAATCTACACCATAAAACTCAGCACAGAAAGTAGATATCATAGCAAACATGTTATTTAAACAGACGATGTCGACATGCAATTTTCAAAGGTATTCACAGAATACATTAAAAATATACAACACCAAAATTCACAGAGAGCAAACTCAATATTCGCCAACGATGTTTTTTCACTAATATATAGTTATGTAACTATACTAGAAAATATAGGAACTGAAATGACACACAAATGTCAAACATCACACACCGGTTCAAACATCAAGACACACAAATGTCAGAAATGAAATTGCCGCATTCTCAGCATTTTTAAACACAATTCGTGAAAACTTTTCAAACAATGAAATTTGACCAAATGTCAAACATGATTTACAAAAAATCTTAGCATGGTTCATAATTGATTATGTTGCACATAATATTGATTTAATTGCACAAGCAAGAAAAAATTTCAGACCTCAAAGTACCAATGACGACACTGTCATTGCAGAACAATCAGATTATATTTGGGACCCTGAATGGTCTCATCCATTATTTCTGAACATACCAATAGACATCTCAAGTCAAGCAATCAGTACAATTTCTATTCACAAAGACTATGTAAAGATATTTCCACTTACAATAGATGCAACACCTTTAAACTATAATTCATTTTTACCTGATAGAAGACAAAATAATAGTTTAAACTCAACTCTTGTACAACAAGAAAACTTAAATGGAACTAAAAATCTTACACAACAAGATATTCAAACACCATCACATTTTATAAATGAAGAAATAGTTGAAACAATTGTAACAACTACACAGCAAAGTATTTCACCAATACATCCAAACCTTACAACACCAAAACCAAAGACTTCAATATTACCACAAGTAACATTGCAATCTACGGTTAAACCCTCAGTTGCTCCAAAATATTCACATATGGATTACCAAACATTTAGACCAATGACAAAACCACCACAAAAACAAAGAATATTCACCAGAAGTATATTTGCAGAACACAATTATAACTAAGTAAACAGATCACAAACATCTGAACCCCCTCGTACAAACCCGCATAATCGTTCATATTCACAACGACAAAATTCCCAACAACAAACATCAAATTTCGTAAATTTTAATGATAAACCACGAAATCCAACAGACCCAAGTGAAAACTATCCATTTTTTCAACAGAACAAAAATAGTAAACAGCATTACCAAAATAAACATAAAACACCTTATTATACACCTTATTACACACCCAATTATCTTTCATCAGATGATGACGACTTTCATGACCAAAACCATCAACAAAGCTTTCAAAACCAAAGACTCCACTCTTATCACGTAAATCAACCAGATATTTTCAAACCATATACACGAGAACAACATATGCGACAACCTAGACCAAATCAAGCATCTCAAAATAATGATTTTTATTCACAAAACCCAGTAAATACTGATTATTATCAACCAACGCAAATGCAAAATGAAATACCACTACCATATTATTTGCAACAACATGAAATAACAAAAAATCAACTGAAAATTTTTTCACAAATGCCAAATGCCGCAGAATTACTACAGATGACCATGAATCTATACCTCATGGGTGGATCATCAATAACATCAAATAAACCATTAATAGTATTCACAGGCACAGACCCTGAATATTCTGTAGAAGACTATCTAAATGCAGTCACAGCAAATTTAATTTTAAATATCGGACCTGAACCAATTAATACACCACTCCATCCAAACTGGATACATAGACGCACAGCGTTATTTCAAACAACACTTGATGGCGCAGCTCAGAAATAAACAACACCAAAGAGTTTTATGCAATAAAATTTGCAGACTACCAAATGAAACAATTAAACAATTGGCAGTTAGAATCGAAACACTAGTTCAAAAAGCATATTCACTGAACACTCATGATTATAAAAACACGAAAATCACAGAAATTTTAATGATGACTCTAACACCCCAATTAAAAAAAATAGCTATGAAAAAGAGAGCATCACATCCCTCATCAATTCGAGAACCAGATTTAAATTTTAGGAAACTAGTTGACAAGCTAGAACAAGCAGAAATCACAACGAAACTCGAAGAAACAGAAAATCTTAAACTACAATACGTTATTAGAATCGAAACAAATACTACACATATAAACAACATACACGATTCAGATGTAGACCTAACTGAAAAATTCACTGAAATTTTGAAC